TAAAATAGAAAAAGTGAAACACTTCAATGATTTGGCTGCTGAGTTATTAGAAATTAGATCTTGAGGCTTTATACTCCAATGAATGTGTAGGACTAAGATTTGCGGGGGCTAACTTGGTCGGTTTATTTCAACCTGAGCATTCCTATCTTCAGCCTCAACATTGCCTGATGTAGGTCATGGGAAATATTCGCTGAAGCATATGAACTCATGTTGCAATTCATTTTCATTAATATAAAAGATGGCCAACGCTGTGATAGATTCTAAAGTGGGAAATATTCTCCTGGCCCTGGTTTTTAAATCTTCTATTTTGAGATCCACAAATCTGATCATTGGCCTACAAATAAAAACTCCTGGTCAGTAAAATTAAGGACTTTTCCCCGCCTTTGTTGAGGATCACTGAATAGATGAATGTGCTTTAAAAATGCAGGTCTTTGCATTTGGTAATATACAGGAGAGCCAGTCAATAGGACAATGGCCATGATGCCCCATGGTTTGCCAAGTGAACTGAAGGGACATTATAATTAAGATACTGCCTGTTTAATTAAGCTTATTATTGTCAGAGTGTTTGGGGGGAAGCAGCTGGAAAGAGAATAACATCAGGGTTGACATGTTTTCAGTACTTTTGCCACAGCTGTGCAAGTCTTATGTATTTTAAAGGGAAAAGGTGATTCAGAGGATGGTTAATTATCCCTGTAACCCTTGTCAGCAATTCCTTAAATAAGCTGTATTAAGCTTTCCTTCAATTGCATGAGGCTAGGAAAAGACCCATTTGATTTAAGGAGATGCAGATGGTGATAGGTGCAAGATGCACATCCACACAGGCCTTTGGAATCCAGACCATTGAAATTTTGCAAATCAAACTGTCCACTCCCCCCCCCCTCTTTCTTTTTTACTGCTTTGATGAAAGTGATGTTGGTGAAAGAAAGGCATGAGCACGGATGATAGTGTGGTAATGAAACGTCTGTGAGAAAACAAGCAAGCTCAGAGAGGACCCTTCATTTCAATCTTGAGCTACCAATTTTCTCCTTTATTGGAAAGAAAGACAGTCGGAAGATACCATGATTTGTTCTCTTCAGCTCCTCAAACAGGAAATTCTTGATATCTGACACAGCTTTTGAGAGACCATAATATGGTAGTTTCAGAAATTCAAGGACTGAATAGCAATAGCAACAGCACAGACTTAAATACCGTTTCACAGTGCTTTACAGCTTTCCCTAAGCGGTTTACTGCCCTCTCTAAGCGGTTTACAGAGTCAACCTATTGCCCCCAACAATTTAGGTCCTCATTTTACCGACCTCGGAAGAATGGAAGGGCTGGCTCAACCTTGAGCCTGGTGAGATTCGAACTGCCAAATTGCAGGCAGCTGGTAGTCAGCAGAAGTAGCCTGCAGTAATGCACTCTAACCACTGCGCCACCAAGGCTCTTGTAAGGGATCATCGGCTTTAAAAAGAGCCATGAAATGTAGCAGTGGTTAATGATAATTTTGGTTTACTTAAGCTTTGTCACTGGAAACCTTCCCTCTTGAAAAATGGAGGGTTGAGAATTCTTTATAAAAATTTTTTTATCAAGCTTTGATACAATTTTTACACATGCACACATGTAGCTGCTCTGGGACTAATGCTTCAGAATATAGGTGGAAGAGTTTCAAGCATGAATACCTCCTTGCATTAAAGAAGACCAAACAACCCCTGCCTCAAAGAATCCTTTTTTCTATAAAGAAAAAGTAGCACATTATAGACCCCCCCCCCCAAAAAACTTAAATTTTTACTTCCCTTTTTGTAAGTGGGAGATCTATGAAAAAGGAGTGAAATCAAACATGCAAGTTGTATAATTACAGAAAGACAATATTGGTTGCTTTTTCTGATTATTCAAAGATGTCAGGCCTTCCCTTTTCATACAGACTGGGTATCTATATATAAAAAAGCCAAACGTCACTCATCACGAAATCTCCAGAACTGTAAAGCCTACAAACTTGAAATTCAGCACATATGTTCCTCTTGGCTTCTAGGTGCTCGCTAAGAAAGGATTTTTTGAAATGACCATCAGATCATCAGCATTTCGTATACACACGTCAGTGCGAAGGTGTTAGACATTCTACTCACCCTCCCCATCTGAAAGGAACTCTGTTCCAACTGCCAATTGCCTTATATGGGCGTGGCCAGCACATGACTCATCCAGCCTGTGAGCTGGCCCTATCACATGGTTTCATAGTGAAGCATGGGTATCCAGCTAGTATGTAATAAATTCCAGGCTGAGCATTGCACTTCCAATTTTACTCAGGGTTGAACTGTGGGGTGATCTCTGAGTACCAAGGACCCCACACTTCCAATTTTGAATGGACTCCAGGGATCTCCCATTGTCTCCTCTTCACAATTTCTATAAGCACAGAACCTGCTTCAGCAAACAGTTCTGGAAGTCATTCTGTAAAAGCCCACCCGGAGTCTGTCCTTGCATTTATCAGTAAGGCAAATAGCAAATGTGTTCAGCGAAGTGGCTCTGAACTTGCCTAACATTATCAGGTTTCCCTGACCTTTCTTGGCCGGATAGGAAATCGAGAGGGATCTGGTTTAGCTGGAAGCTTATCCTGCCCCTAGAAACTGAGGAAGGTCAGACATCTGTGCCTCTTTCGGTGCAGTCCTTTAGTAAACTTTAATCTGCAGCTGGCATGTTTGCTGATCCTGGACTAAATAGTGATGTATCTCAGGAAGAACAATAAGGCCAGGATAAATAGCTACCCTACATTAATTCTGATCATATTTTTAAAAAATGAAATTTATTGTTAATGCTGATCTGATCTGAGTCCTTTATATGTTGGTTAAGACACACAGGTTGATAATTCCCATAATCTCTGAATAGGTTGGCCTGTCACCATAATAGGGTAAGGATTGTGGGAATTAAATTCTAATGCTAATATATTCCAAACCTGAAGGAAGCTTTCTCAAAATTAATATGAAATGTTAAATAATCGTGTAGTGTTTTACTTGAAGTGAACATTCAGGTGTTGTAAAGTGTTCTGCTTTAGCCACATAATTGGTATGTATAGTTTTGCTGCCCTCACCTGGCCCCTCAGAGTATTACTTCATACCTTCCTTATTCCTTTTGACTATTCTCAATGGGAACTGTTTAGTAAGAAAAAACCCCAAAACTTGGTTTTTAGGAAGTAGGGCTGGAAGATGTTTCACTGCTTTTTTTTTTTACAATTTAAAACCAAAGGAGGAAATGTAAATTAATATTTATTCCCTATCCAAAGATGCTATTCAATGTGACAATGATCAAAAGGTTGGTTTCATTCTTCCAATTTCTGCCTTGAGGACAGAGGTGGTATTCAGCTGGTTCAGACCGGTTCAGGCGAACCAATAGCAGAAATTTTGAGTAGTTTGGAAAACTGGCAAATACCACCTTTGGTTGGCCCCCCCCTCCCCCCCCGTCATTCCGTCCTATAAGTCCCTTGTTTTTTTTAGCTCTGCTAATTCGCGCCGCAAAGCAGATTGTTGCCCCTCAGCTGAACTAAAAAATAGCTCACCAGCACTGACACCAATTTTTGAGTGCTGCGCGCAAAGCGCTCTTACATAGAACTGATAGGAAAAGATTTAGAATCCCACCACTGTTTGAGGAATAACCAGAACAAGATGGTTCTCCCAGAAAAATAAAATGATGTTTGTGAATGCCCTGTTTTCTCTGCTACTCCCAGAAAATTGACGGGTATGAATTAGAATATGGCAGGGAGAAGAGAGAGAACAATTCCATCTCCTGCCATCAAGATACCTAACACTGTGTTGGAAGCCCTTATATCAACTCTTGTCTCTGTAACTGTTTCTATGATTCTGGATCCAATCCACTGTGGCTCCTTGATTCACAGTGTGAATTAGTTTCCAACCGAAGTTGTAAATAGGGTTTTTATCATGTTGTGCAGTCCAGCTTTTCTCCAGGAAGCTGAGTTGTGGTCATGGCAATCATTCCATTTTCTCCTCACAACAATCCAAATATATATTAGTATAATCCTGTCCTTCCCTTCCCTATCTATATATATTAAAATGGCTGTGTATATTCCAGCATAATTCTAGAACTCAAGCAATGTCAACCAAACACGGTACACAGATGACTTACTCTCTGGAAACAAATAGTAGGGGAGGGAAGATACTCCTAAAACCCCTCGGTGTGTGTGTATTCTGTTAAGATACAGCCTGTTGTGTCTTAAAATGGCTTCTACTTACTGCTGTAAAATGGATACTACTGTGCAGTGGAGTGGAGTTGCCATGGTAACGGCTTCACAGTACTCCACAAGGGGGCTCCCTCTGGTAAGGGGGAAAATCCAACATTAGGAATTATGTTTGGTCTGGATATTTTCCCCTTATAAATAAATATTTGGGCAATAGTGGGTTATCAGCTAGTCCTATATACTAATGTTATAACGCTCCCTGAGTAAAACAGCTCTGCAACATAGGCGTCTCAGGCCTTTGACAGGTTGAAGGGTGGGCATGGAAGGTGAGCTGTGTCATCGGCCTACTTGTAAGCTACCATTCTTGGCTAACCACACAAAACCTGCATATTTTCTTTAGGGAGAATCGAGGATTCTGTACACCTGGACACTAGCTTTAGACAGTATGGTCAGTACAAACCAACATGCTTGAACTGCACATGGAAACATTCTGATAATCACTGAAGGATCAATCACATAAACATACCACTGCTGAAACAAATCTCTTTGGCCAGCATATGAGCTGCCACATTTTCATAATCTTCAAAGTCATCATCAGTTATAGTATGGGTAAAAATACTGTAATATCTACCTGCAATCTTTCAACAAGGAATATGATTTGCTTGTTCACCTTTATTTTTCTTATTTGCATTTTTTGTTCAGTTAGGATTAGGGTCTACTATTTTGTTGGTACATCATGCTTTCATGTTGTATTTCTGGTGTCCATTGTGATGCTAAGAGACAAGTACAATATAAATATTCTGGTGAAATAATAACCATTTTTTTCTTCCCATTCCCATAGGACATTCCAAATTATGAAAATATACAGGAACTTCCATATCTTGATATGGTGATAGCAGAAACTCTGCGCATGTATCCTCCAGCATTCAGGTTAGTAAAATAGATGACCCTGCGGCTGCTGAAGCATTCCCCCTCCCCCTTATGTAGGTGATTTACACCACTCCAGGGAATGAATGTGAGTCTTCTCTTAACCTATAAGGAGTCAGGCTTTCTCTGAGTCTTGATATAAACCTGATACAGTACAGGATAGGGTGGCTCAGTGGCTAAGACGCTGAGCTTGTCAATCAGTTCAGCAGTTCAGTGGTTCGAATCCCCAGTGCCGTGTAACGGAGTGAGCTCCCGTTACTTGTCCCAGCTTCTGCCAACCTAGCAGTTTGAAAGCATGTAAAAATGCAAGTAGAAAAATAGGGACCACCCTTGACGGGAAGGTAACAGCATTCCGTGCGCTTTTGGCATTTAGTCATGCCAGCCACATGACCACGGAGACATCTTTGGACAGCGCTGGCTCTTCAGCTTTGAAACAGAGATGAACACTGCCTCCTAGAGTCAGGAACGACTAGCACATATGTGCGAGGGGAATCTTTACCTTTACCTTAAAGCACAGGATGTTTCTAAATTCTTAGTGCATTTAAGCTTTAATAACTTCAAAAGTATAAATGTTACAAACTTAAAACAAAAAAAAAATCATTGGAAAGTTTAATGAATTTACATCCTTTTATACTTAAATTTGTGAATTAGAATAATATGTTTTTAATTTTTTTCAAATCCCTCTGTTTGAAAAATGGCAAGCATTGGGGTAAAAAAATCAGCTGCATTTGCTGGTTAGCTGAATTCAAGTCACAAACAGCAATAAAAAGAAAATTCACTTCCTATTACAAGAAGGAAGCTCACAGCAGAAATTTAATTAACAACTGGATGAAAAACGTTCAAGGAAACTGGCTCATTTCATGATGAGCATAGATCTAAGAGATGCTGAGCAAGCAAATAGAAATTGAGAAAGTATTTGAACAGAGATTCCCAAAACCAATGTACCATATGTCTAGTGAATTGAACATTTCAAAACTCACATTGTAAAGAATTCTAACAATGAAACTCCATAAGCTCCAATGAAATTCCATTACAAGGTTATTATTGTAGGAGATGACTAGGCTGAGCCTGAGGGAGGAGTCAAACACTTCATCAGTCATGAATCCCTGCGTGCCCAAAAGAGATCTAAGTCCAGCCTATCTTGAATTCCTTTCTCTTCTTAACTCCTATTAATTTCTCTTGACCATTAGTGGTTCAGATCCTTGTAGAGAATTTAAATCTTGCAATAAATCTTTATTTAACACCTACTTGTTCAGAATGACTCATGGTTATAACAGGACCGAACGAGGGATACTTATGGTGGGTCCTCGTAGTTACGACTGTTGCAATGTCCATGCAATTGCAAGATTGGTTTGCAATTATGACCGTGGTTCCCAATCTTTCTGGCTTCACGGACCTGGGGCAATGGGGGGGGGGTTCACGCACACAGCCTAGATCCCGTGCATACGCTAATGAAGCTTTGCAGGCTTCCCAACAGTTTGTGGACTGGGGGTTGAAGGTACCCCTGAATTATGATGTTGGTGTCATGACACCAACCCAGCAAAAGAAGAGGCCACTCTGTGAGCAGAATAAGTTTCTTACTGGAGTCTCAGCTTGGCACGTGCTGAACAATACAAGTAAAAAGGTTTCTAGCCAGCATTACTGGCTTCTACTAGCCAGCTGGCTATACGGACCACCGTCCTGTTCCTGGTTGCTCCCAGCTGGCTTCAGCGAGTACCTTTTTGGGCCAGCTCCAGCAAGCACTCTTCGAGCCCGATTGCTCTCTGGCTGGCTCCAGCAAGTACTCTTCAGGCCTGGATGGCTTCTGAACCAACTTCAGCTAGCTTGCCTTCCTAGCTCCTCTCCCAGGGTGAGTCCTATCACCCGACACCCATCTGTATCCCCCTGCATCCCCCACCCACTACGCGTGTGTGGCAACTCCAAACCAGCACATTGTGGCCACTTTGAATAGCGCGCTGTCTCAGACGTTGACAGTTACAACTTCCTGCAGTCATGATTGCCATTTGCAATTTTCACCGGTGGCTTCCAAGCAAAGTCAGTGGGGAAGCCAGCAGGAGGTTGCAAATGGTAATCATGTGATATTGTAACAACTGACCATGCAGGATTTGCTTAAAGATAACTGGAACTGCTGTCCTAAATTGGCATAGTCACATGACATTGTATTTTACAATTGTGATGCTTGGTGTCCGAGTTGCCAATCTGAACTCCTGATGGTAAGCACCGACTATCTGTAGTTGTTCAACTGTTACTGTTTCAAGGTTATTGGCTGACAAATATTTTTCAACAAAAAATTAAATGCATTATTCCATTTTGATAGATGGAAAAATGGATAGTAATTTTAAAGTGTGCAAATGCTGTCAGAAAGGTAGCAGATTGTATGTGGTCTCTTGTCAGGAATTATTGTCAAAAGAAGCCAACATCTGCATGCTTAAGAATACGCTTCTGCCCGTGTTTTTAGAGCTGAATATGGAGGAATTACTAAAAATAAATTGAATGCTGTGGCAGTGGGATTTTAAGAGGTAAGAAGAGATGGGGTGAAGAATTAATAGAGTTTGCATTAATGCAGATTGAATTCACAAATGAGATCCAGGATGAAGGAAGGATGTGATTTGGTTGTAGGGAGAGTAAATTAAGACTGAATCAGGCTTTTTTTTGGAGAAAGAGAATGTGAGATCTTCTCAAAATGAAAGGAAATTTATGAATGTATATGTGGATTTGATGGAATTATGTTGTCAGGCTTGGAAGCCATCGTTGTATAGGGTCTCAAGCCTGCCACATATTCAAACACATTTTACTGTGGGAAACTGGGAGAGGGGATTATATGGAGCATGGGAGATAGGTTGCCACAATAACATTCCTTCTCGGGAAGTCAAGGTCACCTTGTTCCTGCACCTGGACGGATGTGGATGGGAGGAATCTTCCTTCATGGCAATGGCTGATTGGTGATGTGATAGGCTTGGTGGGGGGGGGGGCAGAGTCTTGAACTTTCAACTGGGTGGGGGAAACCTGGAAGCTTTCAGATTCAGGTTTTCCCAGATGTGCCAACATGGCTTCTGTAATAAAATTGAGCATTGAGGAATTTCAAGCCTTGGACTCTTATTTGATGGAGGATGCTATTTGGAATCCTGACACATGTATGGTTTGCATGAAAAGTATTGATACCTATGGAAAATGTATTATCATAAATTACAATGAATTGGATTTCTATGGGCTTATCTTGTACGTTTCCTTGCTACTTTCTACTTTTTTTCTTTGCATAATATTTTTTTACCCCACAAGACAATAACATGTTGAGTAGGTATTTGTACCTTATGCCAAAATAAATCCATCTGTTAGCATATTCTCAATAATCTTTCTAACATTAGAAATCAAGCGGAATTCAGTGCTTTTAAAGCAGGTGACGATGTCTGGTTTTGTTTTCAGCCCTATATTTTTCCATCAGAAGTTTCAAACTAACTTTTTTTTTAAACTTTAAAACAATGCAGAGATAAACTTTCAAAATGCAAAAAACTGCTTGAAAAATTTCAAGAAATAAATCTGTCAGAAAAGTATGGTGGGTAATTAAAACTAGCAACAAAAGAAACAAATATTAGGAAACATTTTAAAATGGCAGTAAACAATAATGATTTTGGAATATGACTTTGGATGGAAGGAGCAAATATGGACTCAGAATATAAGAGGAGGAAATATTTCAGATTTCCTTCTCCCAGATAATTCACAGGATTTATAAAGCTGAACCTAAAATGTCACTCTGCTTTTGTCTGCTGAATTCAAACAAAGCAAAATAAATGTCGTTTGAAATTTAATAGTTTGGTGGTCAAATGAAGGAAATTCGTGCACAACACTGGATATATTTTTTTATGTGTTTCCCCTATCACAGTGTACTCTAACAAGGCTGAATCATGATGCAAATGATGTCCTTATGTGGCATAACTTTCCCTGCATTCTGGGGGGAAAATATTGATAACTATCAGTTAGTGGGAAAACTGCAGGAAATCCTAAGGGATGTTTATTGAGTCTTTCTCTCTTTCTCTCTCTCTCTTTCTTTCTTTCTTCTCTTCATTTCTTTCCTCCCTTCCCTTTCTTTTTCTTTCTTTCATTCATTTCTTCATTTCTTCCTTCCTTCCTTCCCTACCCTTCCCTTCTACCTTTCTTTCTTTTTCTTTCTTCCCTGTTTCTTTTCTTTTTTTTCAGTAACTGCCTAGCCTTCCCAATGGGGTGGCTTCAGATAAAATACATACATACATACATACATACATACATACATACATACATACATACATACATACCTTTCTCATTTGGAGACAGAAATTGCTATGTGGGAATGTCTCAATCCAAGTGAGGGGGGGGGGAATATTTCAATTTTTCCTAAAAACAAAGTAGAAGCCTAGGACTAGATTTTAAGGAGTAGCAAAATATTCAATTTCATCAGCTCCCATCTTGCTGTCTTCATTCAATTTTCTTTGCAATGAATGATTCTAATATTATTTTTTCCTATTTGTACAACAGCCGAGCCTTACAAATGAAGACCTCTTCAAGTGCTTCAATTGCCATGTTTTTCCTTTGTTCCCGTAGGTTTACCCGGGAAGCAGCAAAAGACTGTTGGGTTCTGCAGCAAAAAGTCCCTGCTGGCGCTATCATAGAAATTGCTGTTGGACACCTCCATTATAATCCAAAGTACTGGCCAGAACCTGAAAAGTTTATTCCTGAGAGGTACTTGGGCCTATTGTTAAAATCTCAATGTCAAATCACAATGTCACAATCACAATATTATTTATTGTGCAGATAAAAACAATAAAGAACTGGGAGGCACAATTGCACACATTGCAAAATGCACATCCTCCCACGGAACACGATACAGCTACTCCTCAACCTAACCACAATTGGGAGCAGAATTTCTGATGTTAAGCAAGGCAGTTGTTAAGTAAATCACACCCAGTTTTATGACCTTTTTTTTTTTTTGCTATGGCTGTTCAAGTGAACCACTGCAATTAAATGAATCACATGGTCGTTAAATGAATCCGGCCCACCCTCCCCCATTGACTTTGCTTGTTGGAAGCCCCTGGAAAGGTATCCAAATGGCGATCACATGACCCTGGAATGCTGCAACCATCATAAGTACATGCCAGTTCCAAATTTAGATCATGTAACCATGGGGATGGTCGTAAGCGCAAGGACTGGTTAGAAGTCACTTAGTAAGTACCATTGTAATTTCAAATGGTCACTAAATGAATGATTATAAGTCATGAACTACCTATGTATGACCACTATATCTTAATCATCGAACAGGCCATTTAGTGCCTAACCAACGTTTTAAAATGGAAAATGCAAATGGGAGGCCTTTTCTCACCCAATATTTTTATCTTGGCCACAGATTTATATATGTTAATTTTGCCCACAGATTTATGTCCGAGGCAATGCAGCAGCAGCATCCTTTTGCTTATCTGCCCTTTGGGGCAGGTCCTCGTGGCTGCATCGGCATGAAGTTGGCCTTGATGACAATCAAAATTGCACTGTTAAGAATTTTGCAAAGGTTCATGTTCAAAACCTGCCCTGAGACCCAGGTTGGTGCCTGTTTTTACTTCTTGGAAAAGATGGTAACAAAATAAAAAGGGGGGAAATTAGAGGTTGCAGGAAGAATTGCTTTTCATTTCTCTGTAGTTATGAATGCGTAAACCTATAGCTATTTCCCCTGAATCCCCAACACAGCATCCAACATTTGGGGTAACCAAGGCTTCCAGCCTGGCGAGGTCCCACTCGCCATCTTCAGGCTGGTGTTTTCGGCTTTGTGCTTGTGCGAGTAAAGCGTGGTCGGAGCTGCCGTCTTTCTATAAATATTGGTGGAGGGGGTGTGGAATGCTGGCTTTGTTGCTGTAAGTGGGTTGATTGGCTGTGCAGTTGCATCCTGATTGGTAGATGGAGTTGATGTTTGTAGATTGGTCGGCTATTTCGTATCATCCTGTTTGGCTGAGGTGCTGGCTGTGTGTCCGTTGTTCTTTTGTGTTGTAACGACCTGTGTGGTGGGTGGGGCTCGTTTGTTGACTAGGGCTGGTTTCCAGGTCACTGGTAGGAGGGAATAAATGTGATGATACCTCCTGCCTACCAGACATCTAGTACCAGACATCAGGGCATTGTTAGAAATTAAACAGTGGGTGGTTGCAATTCAGCATTTTCTTTGCCTCCTGGAGTATGGGAACTTTGTATTGGCAACCTTTTGGTGGGAGGGAGAGCCCAAAACCTCTGCTGTGGGAACCCAACCAATAAGTCTCCATTTATTTTCTCCTGCCTAAATCGTTTTGTTGAAATGAAGCCGATACCTGGATTCAGAATGTTAATTCTAAGATCGACTTTTCATGTAACATTCCTAAAACAAACCCTGTAGCACCCAGCAAGGAAGGATGGTTGTCAGCCGGACCGTCCAGCATGGTTGATCTGATTGGAAAAAATCCTGAGAAACCTGGTATATTGATTGTTAAATGTTATACAGCATTCCCTTTCCTATATTACCGATGCTTCCTAACTTGCTTTGCATTTTGTTTCTTCACCTTCTTCACAGATCCCTTTGCAGGTCAAATCCCACAGCACACTAGGACCACAGGATGGTATCTTCATCAAGATTGTTCCTCGTTAAGATAGTCACATCCTCCTGTTTCTTTTTCGGGAGCTTTGGCTCACCTCATACTGAAAACCTATTTGTAACCTGGAAAAACCTGTTAAAGGGACCAAAGCTCTTACCCCAGCCTTCCTTCTAGCCTTAGTCAACTTACAACGTTAAATTCCAAAGACATTTAAACTTCTATGCTTGTAAACTTAACCTTTAGTGCCTGATATGCATCTAAACTTTGAAAGCATATGTTGTGTGGCGGTATGACGTGTACAAATGAAAGTAGAATGTTCATAAAATAAACTCTTTTAGCAATAGCACTGATACATCACTTTACAATGCTTTATGGCCCTCTCTAAGCAGTTTACAGAGTCAGCATCTTGTCCAGGATTGGGTTACTGCCGGCATTACTGCTGGTTTGGCGCACAATTTTTTTTGACTGCATGCACATTTGCACCTAAAAAGGTCTGTGCATGTGCAAAACGTGAAAAGAGAGGAGGGAAAATTACATTTCTACAATGAAAATTGTTCTGTGCATGCACAGAACTGAAAATCAAGATGGTGGTGCCATAGCAGAACCGGTTTGGGGTTGCGGCAGGCCTGGGTTGCTGCCAGTTCCAGCGTCCCAGGCCACCAAGTTACTAGTGGTTTGGCCGAACCGGTCCGAACTGGCGGGAACCCACTTTTGATCTTGTCCCCAACAATCTGGCTCCACCTTGGAAGGATGGAAGACTGAGTCAACCTTGAACTTGGTGGGATTGGATCTGCCAAATTGTAGGCAGCCAGCAGTCAGTAGATGTAGCCTGCAGTACTGCACCCTAACCACTGCGCCACCAGGGGTCATAGCTGTTTTAGATACTGTTAAAAATAAAAGTTGTTTTTTTTTAAAAAAATCAGGCTGTTATAACTAGTCGGTGATCAGCTTAACCTCTATTTTCTCTTAAGAGTTGTTCCTCTCCTGTCTAAGATCATGGGCAAATTTACCTGGACAATTCTGCAGCCCAAGGTATAACTGACAATCTGGAACCTAGTGTTTTGTCCTTTCTTCCAAACCATCTTCTCCAATCCGGTTCTCTATCCACATGACAGCTTATAAACTTTTTTTCATCCTCTGGCTTGCTTGGTTAATGGTAATTCATAACTGTGAGAACTAGAAATAAAATGCACTGCGGTTATTTATACAACATGTTCTAAAAAAAAAATGTGAATGTTGTGATGGTTTGTAAGTGTGAGCACTGATCGCAAGTCACTTTTTTCAACACTGTTGTAACTCTGAACAGTCACTAAACAAATGGTTATAAGTTGAGAACTGCCTGTATTTATTTTACAGGTAGAAAATAAAAGGATTCTAAAACCACTTGTAAACTTGCTTTATTACAGTAAAATCTGTATATTGATTAAAAAAAACTCATCCCAAAAACCAGTAGTGTTACACACAAGGACCGCGGGGCCTTCCTGGGAAATGTAAGGGGCTTTGGCCCAGTCTACCCAATGCAGAGAAAACATCGGGCCAGTGTCGCTTCAACCCAGTATACCCAGTGGGAAGAGGAAACATTGGGCCAGCATAGCTTTTGCCAGGTCTACCCAATGCAAAAAGGAAACATGCCAGCAGTTTGGGGAGTGACGTCAAGCTGGCCACGCCCACTCAACCACACCCCCACCCACCCCCAAGGTCACCACAGCCCTTATGCATCCCTCAATGAAATTGTGTTTGACACCCCTGCTATAAACAAATAGCAGCCACCTGCATTCTATAGTGTAAATCAGTGTACTACTAGTGTTGTTACTGCATAATGCTCTTATTTATTTGCAAAATTTCCTGGGTTTGCAGTCTGCTACAGCTATTAAGATTCTCAGACTTCACTTTCAAAATCAGCCCGCCCTGATTTGGTACAGTGCTGAAACTTCTAACATAACCATTAAAACATTTTTTTTAAACCCCTGGTGGCTTTTAAATCACAGATAGTAATTTCTTTATATTATTTGTTATAAGGCATCTATCTTGAGATTTTCAGCAAACAATAAAGCCAACTTAAATACATGTAAGCTTTATAGCACCAACCCATAATTTACACTTAGGGAAAGCAGATATGTTGGGAAGAATAGTTCCTCAAGGTAAAATCAGATATCTATCTGAAGCACAAAAAACCATAAAGAGTTTTACAGCTGTAGCTAGATATGGTTTGCTCCAGGCGTTTCATTATAGAACTGCAAAACTTGGTACAGGACCCATTCAACTACCCTGTTTCCCTGAAAATAAGACCTCCCTGGATAATAAGCCCAATCGGGCTTTTGAGCGCATGTGCTAAAATAAGCCCTCCCCCCAAAATATTGCAACACAGCAGCAGCCATGAGGTAACCACACTCACTGCCTCCTGCACCTCAAAAATATAAGACTTCCCCGAAAATAAGGCCAAGTGCTTATTTTGGGATTCAAAAGAAAATAAGACCCTGTCTTATTTTCGGGAAAACATGGTACATTCATCATAATTGTCACTAATGGGCAGTATCTTGAAGTTTCAATAGCACATGATTAAGTCACCGCAGCCAACTCTATATCCATTGAGATGCAATAAAATGATATTATTTAATACAACCAAACAAGCCTTCTTTTGTTAAAGTTTATTTAAGTAGACGGCAAGTTCTTAAGCAACATTCCCAACATATATTTTATATCCCAAATCTAAAAAAATTAAAATGTGAAACAGGCGATGGAATGTTTTTGTGTCAGTAGATAGATAGATAGATAGATAGATAGATAGATAGATAGATAGATAGATAGATAGATAGAT